GACATGAACATGGGACTAGAAAATAAAGATAGAAGACAAGGCTATATGCTATAAAACAATATGAATTATATTACTGTATAGTTTGCATTTCAAAACAATAAGCTTTTTAACCTTAAAAAACAACAAAAGATTCATCTAAAGTTCCTAACACTAAATATAGAAACTCAAAAGAAAAAGGGAACAAGAAGATTCTCAACTCCTTATTAATATTTGAAGACAGGCTTTGATCCATAGCTTGTTTATATATACACAGCTCCTAAAAGATTATAGGTATGATTGCTGACACTGAGCTACCTGTTGTGTAGTGGGTCGGGGCAGGAGGGCACTTCTCTGTCAATGGTTGCAAAAGAACCTTCATCTCCATTGTTGTACTTGGAATTCTCCTTCAAAGCTTGGGACTTCTCTGCATCATCTTCCAACTTCTCTGAAAGATTTCTTGCTCCCAGAACTCGTCCATTATATAGAGCTGAAACACACAGCAAGAACAATAGAAGATACCCAACTGAACCCCTTGAACAGAACATGGTTTCTTTCTGAGCTGAAGATGGAGAAGAAAATCCAAGGGAAGAAGGAAATGAGAGCTCGGACTAATGGACTTGTCTGTGTGAGTTGGTTGAATTTAAAAGGAAAGAACAAAAAAATTATTCAAATAGGGTTTGCGTGTAAGGTGAAAAACTTTAGTCAAATACAAGAAGGGCCTTTCTCTAGGGCATCCAATCAAGTAATTGTGGAACACGTCTACTATTTCTTCTTCACCAAGTTGCCCATCATCCACAATAGTTTAATAAGACTAATACCAACCATTCTTTTTGGGAAACACAAAACCAAATATTGAGTTGGATTAACATTTGACTTTTTATACCTATAAATACAACTTATTGTTAATATTTTTGAAATATAAGGTTTTGAATTTAAATTATAAATTAATAAAATAAATAAAAAGATGTGAGAAAGTTATTTTTCATCGTATGCAACAAAATGATACTTTAGAACTTCTAGTAAATGAATGATAAAGTCATCCATAGTTTCATAACAGCCAGTCCATGCCAGACCAATTTCAACCAAAATAAAACCCATCATTAACTTAAACCAAAATCCAACTCAAACATTGTCTCAGAAAGAACCTCAATTTCAGGATCTTACATTTGACTCTTCCTTTGGGTTGTTTCTACTTTCATTTTCCTATCCTAAAGTCTAGAATGCTAACATCCATATTGATGCAGTTTTCTATGACAACAACTACTTTTCTTCTGTTTGTTTTCTTCAATTTTGATTTGTTAATTGCTTGTCTGTCACACAAAAGTGGGTCTTTGCCCTTTGAAGAAACAACATATTGTTGTTAAAAAGATTGTTTTTTATTTCTTCCTGTAGGGGTTTCAGTATTCAGGATGCATATTTTATTTCAATTTTGTTTGTTCTTCTAGACTACCTTCTGCTGCTTCTTTCAATATTGTTTTCATGTATCTTGAAATCATATTACTAAGCTGTCTTACTTATATGTTTATCCTCACTTGAATCAAGTCCCATGCTATTTTAACTTTCTCTTTTACCCTATTTTTGAGATATGATGGGGGCAAAAATATCTTTTTTCTTGTATTGGGAGTTAGTGAAAAGAAGGTAATTATCTATCAATTCTCTATTTTAAATAATAATAAAAAAAAAGAACTTCTACTGTAGTACAATTTTTTAAAATAATGATTTGTAAGTTGAATTTTATTGATTGAAAATATATTAAAAAAATTTAATCATTAATTATGCAAGTTCATGTGAACCCACATGGGACCCATAGAATGACCAATGGACAACAAATTTTCAACTTGTGAACACAGATAATTTTTTCCATGTTTTGAGTGGATGTTATTGAAGGTATATATATCAAAGTAAATAAAGTTTTACTTTAGAGTATCTATCAAGAAAATGGACACCTCTTCTAACCAATCTTGTTTTAGTCTTCACAATTGCACTTACTAAGACAATAATACATAGTCCATGAGAATAGGCAATGAATCTAAATGCACTATGGTTAATGGAAAAGAAAAAGAAGTCATAGAATGTGATAATTAATTCAGAACAGAATCAATAAGAATGAGTAGGGCACAATAAGTCCAAGCAATACTAACATGCTACCCACATAATTTGACTTAAGGCTGCATATAGACACGAGATTTAATTCTCCTTGAACATAACCAAAACCACATATCTCCAAAACACTTATAAAAACAAATCACATCTAATTACCGACATTTAATTACCAAGTCCAATTGGCCAATACTAAATACCAATAAACTACTCAAGTACTTGGCTCTGTTTTCAAACCTAAAAAAACCATGCCTCTAACTCGACGAATCAATAAACAAAGGACTTTTTTTAGTTGATTTTATGTAGTAAGCCTTACATAATTGAAGTGCGCCCGTCACGAACCATACAGGGAATGCTTTCCTTTGGTGCACTTGAATGAGACCATATATGTAAACTAAGCTTTTAAACATTTGGGATCCATTACTAGACTTTTAATATCACTTTTCTATGAAAATTAAAGAAATTCAAAATGCTATTTACGTGCGTGGTAAGTTTAACACCTATCCAACCATATGAATGGATCTCTCATATTGGTGGTCCTACCGACACAAAATTGTGTCTGTGCCGCCCCAAACAACTCATTTCAATAGCTTAATTAGATCCAACCGTGCAATGATGTGAAATTGACAATAACCTTTTTCTTTTTCTTTTAGAGTGGAATATCCATAACAAGGGCGTTTAATTAACCAATGATGAATTACTGAATTAAAAGAAACTTGACATTGTCAAAAATTGGTAGTTAGAAAAGTTCCTTCAAACATCAACTCGCAGCTCCTGTTCTAGCCCCATTTGAGCTGCCAACGTCACAAAAGATCGCAAGCTTTTCCCATGCCTATGATTTTGAATCATGCTTACTATAATCCAAAGACATTGAAACAAAGATGACTAACAATGCTGCCCATAAATCGAATTACTTAGCGAATAAGATCTCGGTTGAATCTCTAGATGACTCTTTATAATGTACTTGGCATGTCAGGAAATGAACACTTGAAGATAAATGCATATTTCTAAATGATATCCATAACTATGACAATTACCTATAACCCTCTGTATTTTCATACAATGAATTGATATTTAACCACAAAATGAATGAATACAGGAGGTTTTATTTGCGGAATTATACTTGGGACAAGACTCTGATGATACAAAAGATAATGGACCAAAAAAACTTGTTTCCCTGTGATCTACAAGGTGTTCTAATGTCTTTACTCTCATACTGTAACAGTGAATAAATAAAGCTTGAGAACGACAGACAGGGCCAGCTGCAAGAGAAAGATGCCTACTACGATCAAGAACCATCTTTCACCAGCTGAGTTAATATGGGCTTTGAGGTTAAGTGCCACAAAAGTTGCTGACATGAACCCAGCTACACCGGCAATTACCCACCTGAAAATTTCTAAGGGCACCACGGATAGACACTGCAACCAGATACAGGCAACAAGTTTAGCTAGTTGGGGGAAATTCTAAGACCACTAATCCAAAAGGCAAAAAGAAAAAAAATCTTGCATGGATGTTTTGAACATATTTTCTTTCTGTTGTCATCCTGTAAAAAGCTTGGACTTTCTTTAATTAACATTTCCACATATAAAATTCAGATACTCTAAGAAAACAGGAGGGAAATAGTTGCTTATAACTATGGAGAACAAAATAGGAGAACCAAAGCACTTACCAATGCTGGAATAAAGACAAATAGGGAGTAGCCATAGAGACAAAACAGCTGGACAAGGCGTGCTGGAGCTGAGAAGTATTTGAGAATTACATACAATACAAGAGGAACTATGGCGACATAACCATAGAACACACCAGCTGACCATGTTACCAGATTTATGTCATAATTCCATTCTTTTTTCTGCAGCTTGTGTGCTACATAGGTGACAAAAGTGCCAATGGAGGCTGCTACAAATATAAGGGTAGTGCATATCCAAAATGGTCCATACCTGCAGAACATTTAGAATTACAATCACACACATTCCTTATTAAATGGAAGACAAAGGAAAATGGGTGCAGAAAGGATAAGCAATCCATCAGGTTATAAGTGTTAACTGTTAACCAATCAGTGCCCAAAATGGCTTAGAAATCAAGTCAAAGGCTAACATATTATATTAGAAATAGTTACTGCCTTCAAGTATGGCATCTACTGTATTTTGAAACGGCACTTTAACAGAACAAGCTGAGAATCACATTGTCTAGTTGACAGTAGTTTTATCTTATGTTCATGGGCTCTCTACTTCTCCTTATCCAATGAACCAAAGCATGATTTTAGTTAGGCAATCATCAACTCTATTCCTGTTTACTGTACGCTGGGAAACCACATTTATATTGCTAATGGTATGAACAGATAATAAATTACTTACGGATAATAAATTATTAAATCTTAAATGTACATAACATGCTTAAATCAACATTATAACAGTTTGATATTTGATAGTCAATTAATCCATTTAAACAAAATGAGTCATTGGAAGAAACTTACAAATCCGGGTTTTCAGCTGTTTTTTCAGTAAAGCTTCCTCTAAAAGGAAATAGTGACTCCTTAATCCTGTCTACTACATCTGAAGTATCAACGTCAAAGTATGGTTTGTATGTAGCAATGGCGAATGTCCTAAGCCAACCACCTCCCTGAGGTGGTTCATCAGAACCACCATTAGGACTTGAAAATGTATCTGTATCAATAGATATATTGTCATTAGCCACAAATCACATAAGCAATGCAGTCCATGTGCTATTTAAACATGGTCATATGTGCTATATTATTATACTTTTGGGACAACAAAGATCATATAATATTTTTTCAGCCTATAGTTAATAGAGATCATAAGATACTTGATCAATCCTCTTCTTTGATAGTCAACTCCTTGGTACATCAAAAAGAGATAGTGAAAAGGTAGGGGTACTCTTAACACAGCTTTCATTATGTTAAATTCTTAACCAATGGCCATGGCAGACTCCAAATAGGCAATAACCATACATAATTCAGATAACAAAGAAAAAAAAAGGCAGTTATCACCAAACTAAAGAAAGATGTCTCCAACACAACCTTAAGGAGGAAGTTCAGAACATCACGCTATTTTCAGTTAGGCTTCAGCCAATATCTAAGGTTCATATTCAACCAAAAAAGGGAAAAAAAAAAAAATCCAAGCGCCCAAAATATGGAAAGCAGCATAAAATTCGATTTATCAGGCTGGAATCAAAGCACAAGCAGAACAAAAAGAAAATTAAAAAAAAAAATGCAAGTAGAATCGCATCGCATAATACCATCAGCATCACGAGGAGGTTGAGAACCGACAGAAATCTTCCCCTTAGCTCCTGATGGAGGAAAGGTCTGAAGGTTGGCATCTGCAATAAAAACAAATTTTACCAATTACTGGATCCAGTACAGCCACAGATCACATTAAAAACAAATATGCCAGATTCAAATTCCCTTTGCCTATCAATTCTACATTTTCTCAGCAACCAAACAAACAACTACGACGATTACAATACAATCCACAGAAACTCATACGCCATATTTCACAGTTCGCCAACAACGGAACCAAATCTTACCTGAGAATTTAACGGTGGTCTGGCCTGGATCTGTAACAGCCTGCAAAATCAAGCAAACAGAATTACACAAATGAGATCTGATTGCGACGAAATTAAACTCAAAAAACGACGATTAGCTGATTATTGATTAGCATACAGGTACGGATCCCGAGACTTGTTGATTGTCGATGCTCGTATACTTTCCGGACATCATCTTTTCCTTCCTCAGTTCTTGGCCTCCCCTTCCTCTTCCTATTCGTCCAGATCTCAGCTTCTTGATTCTTATTTATTGCTGCTAGTCTTTGTTTCTGTGTCTGTTTTTTCTGGTGAGACCGTCGGAAAGTCCGGATTCAGAAAGCATCCGAAATGCCCCCTGTTCATTTGGAAAAAAACTGGGCCCATGGGCTTAGATGACTGGAAATCTGGAATTTCTTTCTTGGGTTTAAATGAAGAGGCTGATCCAATGGATTGAGAGATGACTAATATCGTGTCGTGTAATGGTGTAATTCTTTTTCTTTTTCTATTGAGGATTATTTTTTGGCATATTTTTTTACAAAGATGTGGAAAAATACAATTTTTGACATTAAAAATATCAAAATAATTAATCACATCCATAAGATGGGTAGAATATAATTTAAGTAACATTTTTCTTGATGTGAAAAAACAAGATGTTCTAACATTATAAATATCAAAACGTTCAATTATAACCACATAAGATGAGTAGAATATAATGAGTTATACTTAGATTTTATCTATCATGTGATTAAAATTCCTGATTTCCACTTTTCTGTTTTTCTATTAAGGATTTTAAGGGTAAGTACAAATGTGTAATGTATTTCAAATACAATATTTATTCATACTTGTATTTGACTTAAAAATATAGAGTTTTAAGGTTTTGATATCTAAGTCCTTACCCAACTCATTGGGCACAAAAATACCTGTTGAAAATCTAATATTTTATATAAATTAAAACATTTTTTTAAGTACTACAAAAAAATATAAAGTTTATAGTTTATACATATGGTACATAGACATAGCACCTCCTTAAACATACAAGAAAATATATTAGTTCATTCTTATAACAAAAAATATATAAGAAAAACTGTGTTTGGTGCTTGATTTTAGCTTCTATAGAATAAAATAGAGCAGACTACGGCCATTCCAGAAAGGGAAACAACATGAACTCTCATCCAAGCAATTTTCACTCTTTGCAATATATAAATTCTCGAGGCAGAATATTCCCCTAAAACCAAAGCTTATTTGAAGAATAAGACTACAACGGAGCTTAGACTTTGATAGTTCAACACTAGAGAGCATTTATTTGTTCTTGAAATTATGCTTCCTATCCAAGAATTTATGCTCACAATACAAAATGTTTAGTAACAAATGAAGCCATACTACTTATATGAGCTAGAAAATAGATGTAGCTGCTATTACTCTTATGCACTTTTTAATCTGCCCCTTGTAAGCAACAGATACCTTCTAATGGCTAGTATAAGAACCCAAGTTGTGGCAGTGATTTTCTCTTTGATCATCAATAGCAAAGCTGAGCTTAGTACAGTCTTCAGGATCTGGGCCTGCAATCCCTTAAAGAAGCCAAATACCCCTTCCCCTCTCCATATTGCATACATAACTTCAGGGATGCTCTTTTTGGGCTTTGATCCAGCTCTCTTGGTTTCATTTTCATCTGAGTCAGCAGCCTGAATCATGACCTTACACCTGCATGAGTTAAGCATATGAATTTGTTATAAATTAGTCATATTTCCAAGCTTTTAAACATGACAAACTGAAGTAGCTATGCACCTGATTGCTGGGTATGTCAAAACAGTGGCAACACTTTTTGAAATTGCACCTAACACAAAAGCTGCAAAGGCGGAAAGTACAACAGTGGATGCATCATTATCTGCTTTGTTCTGTTTTTGCTTCAAAAGCCGTTGTTTTAGCTGATCAAATACTGTATACTGCAACATATCATAATTCCAGGCTTAGCACAATATAGATAGGCCGTAAGACTTTAAATCTTTGATCTGTGGGAATAAGCAAATCCATCCGTTAGTTTACAAAGGAAGCTGTAGTACCTGGATTGCAGGGTTTGAGGTCAGCAAAAGAGAAATGCTAAGGCCATCAAATGCATCAGTCAAAGTGCCCTCTGTAAGGGTCTTCCACAGTCCTTTGGATTTTCCAAAGGCACTTGTCTGCATCCTTGAGGAGGCTGTATCCAGGGGCTACAAAGTGATAAATCAGGTAATCAAATATCGAACCTCAAATTTATGACATGCATAGTATCTGGTTATGCACGACAATAAAGAAAAGGCAAATAGATTTGTATAGAAATATGTTGTTGTCTTCCCCACATTTTAGAAAATACAAGAAATATTAATAATAAGAAAGAACTCCAATGCACAAGCTCTACACTTCAGTATGGGAGACTCTCAAGCTAAACTTCAATGGTATAACATTTATAACATCAGCTTGGTTCTGCATCTTTCATATTAAATTTGATAAGGCACCTCATATTCCTTTACTTATTTGTTCTGTCTTTGCAAAAATCACATGAAGAAAATGTAGCATACTCTGTCATGCATCATAGATGGTAGTCTCTGTTGTTCGCAGAATGAGGATTTCAAAATTTTCCAAATTTGCCTCTAAAGTTCAATCAGCATATATTATGGAATTGTTGATTGCGAAGAAGACACAGCATGTTTACAAACATCATACATTTTCAATGCTATAAAAATTTATATTTTGTGAAGCAAAACATGGGACTGGCTCACTTGAGTCTCACCTGAGTAACAACAGCAGTGCAAGCCCCAGCAGCAGCAGCAATTATCAAGTTTGCTTTTGTTCCTATAGACTTAAAACCACTCTTTTCCAAATATACTCTTTTGAAGTAACTATAACCATAGAAGTAGACAAACTGTGATATGAAGGATTGAAGGTTCTTAGTTCCTAAGCCCTGATACAGAGAAAAAACCTGACCAGAAGATATTGCTTCCCAAAATACATCAGAGAGACTCCTACAATACATAGAAAAAAAAAAGAAAAAAAAAAGAAGGAATTAATGATTGACGAGCCAATGATGCCTAGCAATTTGCAACATTAGTGCATACAAAATAATTCAGCAATACCAAGATCTCACTACTCTAAAATAACAGAAACATTTTCAACTTTCAAGCATTTGGGCATAAGGGTGCATGAATTACATAATAAAAAAACATATGAACTCTGCAATTATAAGGTAAAATCATATTCAAATGGAACCAATGGAAAATGAAGAAAGTTTTCACCATTACTAAGGGTGAGAGGTAGACATCATAGGACCAAGAAAACAAAATACTAAGATAATGCTTGGATTATGAATAAATAGAGAGCAATTCAATTCTAAGAAATCTTCCATGAGATTAGATTGAAATGAAGTCATAGGTTAACTTTTCTACCCTGATCTCCTCCATATTTCTCACTCAGATGAATGTTAAACCCAAACCCATTATGGTCCAACTGATCAGTTCACACCCCATCAACCAAAAAGCACAATTTATCAAACCAACATACACGGAAGGGATGAATTCAACAGAAGGGAACCACCCATCATGTAAACATATAAAAGCTAAATTCAAAGAGAATCAACCCAGCTCAGGATTCCCCCGACCATGATCACAGAGAAATTAAACAAACCCGGATCAAGAAACACCAAAACATAATAAAAACCGAACAAAAAACCGAAAACAAAAAGATGGGTCACCTGTATTTCCTCTGCCCATATATTCGAACGTCGGCTTGGTACTTGGTTTTGCAGGTATCAAGAGGATACAAGAGGGTTGTGCTAAGTAACGATCCTATAGCACCCGAAGTCGCCTCCGACAGAGACTCAAGATCAACACCCATCTTTGGAATTTCGTTCTTCAACGGAGGATCTATTCATGCGGTATTTATAAAGAGGTAGGTGGAACATGAACGTTTTTGGACTCAAGGGGGATGAGGGAGAGCGATATAGAGAGAGAGAGAATGACAGATATTGGCGTTTCCTCGGGAATTGCAAAACCGAGCTGCCGTTAACTGTTTCGGTTCTTCCGTCCAGTTTCCAGTGAGTTAACGGCGTTTTGACGGTGGTTGTCAGTGTCTGACAGATTAGGCACGAGGGGTTTAGTAAGTCAAACCTCTAGTCCACGTCACCTGCCCGACCGTATAATGGTGTGCGTTACGTGTGTATATTTGGTTAGTCCCTTCTTTCGCTGTCCACACCCTAAATTATGAGCCATTACAAGGGTATTATTTTCGTTTAAAGATATATATTGTGTGAATGAGGCTTTTAATCTAATAATTTATCTTAAATTTTAATATTTGAATTTACTTACTTACAATTCAAATCTCACTAACTTCTTTTGCTATTCACACCATAAATTATGAGTCATTATAAGGGTATTATTTTCTTTTAAAGATTTATATTATGTGGATTGGGCTTTCAATTTAATAATTTGTCCTAAATTTTAGCATTTGAATTTAGTT